TTTTTAGGCCCAAACGGCATTTTGAGGAGCTCATACTGTCCGGCCGGGGTAACAAAGGAGGTATATTTAATAGAATCTGGCAAAACTCCAACCTGATGAAAACCGTTCTTCAAATCTAGCACGGTAAATAATTGTTTACCTTCCAGGTATTCTACGCAATCGTCTATGAGCGGTAGTGGGTAGTTGTCGCGGACAGTGATTTTATTTAAGCCGCGGTAGTCGACACAAAGGCGCAGCTGCCCATTTCTTTTTTTTACTAGGACTATCGCGGATACATACGGCGAGTTACTAGGGCGTATAACACCTCTCGTCTCTAGGTCTTTTACAATATCTTGCACGGCTGTGCGTTCAGCAAAAGAGAGCCGACGAGGAGCACAGTGGAAAGGCACGTCTGAAGTTAGGTGGATTTTTATTTTGTATTCGTACGGCTCTATCTCTACGTTGGAACTGATATACGATTCGTACACTCTGGACTTTAATTCCTCTCGACAGGCTGACCCTAACGTAAGTTCTTTATCTATGTCGGTATCTCCACTACCGACCTCTATGTTAAAAATATCTGGCACTTCTGAGGTAGGACTGTCGCGGCAGGCTGACCCCAAAGGACGGCCAATATTTACATGAACTTCATCAATACCTAATTCAGAATTAAGAATATTTGGTGCTACTAGGTTAACGTCTTCACTGCAGGCAGTATCTACATCAGCGTCTTCATTACAACGGTTAAGAATATCTGGTCTTGAACGCCGAACATCTACATCGACTTCATCAATAACTAATTCTGAATTAAAAATATGTAGCAATACTGAACTAACATCTTCACGGCAGGCAATATCTAAATCAGCGTCTTCATTACAACGGTTAAGAATATCTGGTCCTGAAAGGCCAGCATCTACATCGACTTCATCAATACCTAATTCAGAGTTAAAAATATCTGGTGCTACAGAGTTAACGTCTTCACGGCAGGCGCGTCCCCCATGGTCTCTCGAAAGGCTGAACCCATTGATAACATTAACCAATTCACCCGGCAGAGAAGTGCAAAGGTTTTTTGATTTGTTAACCGATTTTAATTCATTTATTGAATATTTAAATTTCACTTTTGTTAAACGTATTTTATACGTTTTTATAAAATCGCGGCCCAAGATTAGGGGAGTGTACATTTCATTGTCACGTAAAATATTAAGCTTAATTTTATTTAATTGATTTTTGTAGTTGATGGTGCAGTCGACAACGCCTACTACGTTAATTCTTTTGCCTCCAACCCTAACGTAACTACGCTCCGGCTTATTAAATGTATTGAGGCATTTGGGGACGCTTTCTTCACGAAACTAGTTGGACTGCCGGTATTAGAAAGAGAAACGAAACTGTTAAACACTGCACTTCCCACCGGGTCAATATCAAAAGCAATACTTACTAGGTCTAATTATCGAGTCCCACGACGTCTTCGTAATGTACGGCATTTACTGGTAGGTCGGGCAGCGGCTTCAGGAACTTTTTCGGGTTGGGGCAGGAACGGTGGTCATGCCCCATCTTCCAGCAGCGGAAGCAAGATCCATTGGGGCGTAG